AGTGTGTAAGATCCTTAAACATGACTTAACGGGGCTTACAGACTTTGCGTTGCGAAGCCGGACACTCAAAAATGTCACAAATGGAACCTCTCTAAATCTCTTTCACTCTATTTCTCTCTATTTGAAATCTCTCTCAAAAGTTCCTTTAACTTTTGCTAATCATTCGGGTCATCCCGATCCTTAACCAGGTCAAAAACCACTTAAAACGAGGTAAAACCGGGTAAAATAGACTTAAGGACCCGAAACCCCTCTTAAAGACCCGAACCCTCTTAGGGCCGAAGGTCCATGAAGGGACCGAACTGCTGAGCCGAAGCCCCAAGAACCTAAACCGCCTTTCGAACCGAGCCTCGCAAGGACCGAACCCGAAGGTCCTCTCGGACCCGAACCTCGCACGAACCTGAACCCGATTTCGCTCCAACCGCTTTCGGTCCATTTCGCCTTTGGGCCAGCAACAACAAGGACCGAACCTCGGCCCAGGCACCGAGAAGCCTCGCAGAAAGGCCATTTCTTCCCGGTTTTTGAGTACGACTTCGTTTTAGGCCCGTTTTTCATCATTTTAACGCGGGATTTTCATCCAAAAATTTATTTTAACATATAAGGCCCCATATTTATTAATTAATCACGTTTTTGGGGTTAAATATTATCCAATAATATTGGGTGAAGTACTAGAGGTGGAGTGTTGACTTTTCTTTAGTTTATGACACAAGCAACCACCCATACCCACTCCATAACCAACCCACACCCCTCCCCACCATCCTTAGTCACTTCATAGTCCTTCCCACTCGTTTCCCAGCTATACTCACGTTCTAAGAGCTGGAAAACTCACCCTCTCTCTTCACGTCACTCATTTTCCCTCATTTCCACCAAAGATCAAACACATCTTTTCTCTCAAATTCTCTCTCACAATTTCGAGATTTCCAAGGCATCCTTCAATCTTTCCTTCTACATTTAGTAAGCATCATCATCTTTCATATGATTACTATACTTCCTTTTAACTCAAATCATAGATTCCTTACACAAACTCCATCATATTTGTGTTAGATTCTCGAATTTTCAAGGAATTCTCCTAAGTGTTCTTAGGTAGAACACTCCTTTTCTTCAACATTCATCCACTAATAACACATAAGGTGAGTTCATACCCCTATGTTTTCATATTTTCTCAAGCTTTAATGGGGAGGGGGGGAATAAAAGTTAGAACACCAAGAACATAACTAAACTCATCCAACAACTTTCATCATAAAAGTTTAACTCCATTCATGGTCTGTTTTGGTCAACATAAACATTTTAGTTTTCAAAACTGTATTAGATGAAAATATTTCAAGTTATTACCTTTAAAATGACTACTTGCACATGTTCATACGATTTTTCTACAATTTTTGGTGATTTTTACAAAACTGCCTATCACTGTAGCTACGAATCCGGACTAGTCTGTGAATATAGACATATTCACACAAGTTAGAAACATCTAAAAATCATGATAAAATTTATAAACAAACTAGACACATTTTCTAAATTCCCAGAGTTTACGGATTTAGTTTTTGATTTTGTATGATTTTTCTGTGATTTTTCTAGAACAATGTAGAATTGTTAAAAACAAGTTGACAGCTTACAACTTTCATCACACTTTGTAACATGTTGAGCAGAGTGTTAATCTTTGATGGTCTCATATTTTACCTATGTTTTTTGTTGTGGAATAGTTATATAAAATAAAATACTCACTAATTTGTAAGAGTCCATTGACATTACAAATAATACAAGATGATGCATGATAAGCATACAACTCACATAAAATGGGGTTCTTTTGCATTACAAACGTTTTGTATAAACTATAATAGGTATAGTTTATGTTTCATATACGTTACAAACAGTTATGATAAACTATAATAGGTATAGTTTATGATACATTTACATAACAAACTCATTGCTAAAGGGTATATTTATACAACAGGGGTTTTCATTACGTTACACGTAAATTCGTTAATGACTTTTGTGAGACATTCGCTTCACTTTACAAATAAGTTCTGTATTGTAACCAGAGTCTCCTAGAGGGAGAGCGTGATAGTTGTATATAGATCTATATTGGGTCTGACAAACCCACACCTTAATTGCATGCAACAGCTAAACCGGCAGGTCTGGGGTGAGAAATCTCATAACATTCCCGACGCCTGAAGAACGTCGTTTCAGACCATCTAGGTCATAGCATGGTTATAATAACTCACATTAAGTATTAACAAACATAGGATTTACGGGGATTTCATTGAAATCAAACGAGTTTATGTCGATTTAAACTTGCATTATTTACTATAAGTGAGGAATGTTACTTATACATTTTGGTCTTGGGTTTTAAGACTACATTTTACGTATTATGGAAAATATTTGATTTCTGGAACGAACACTACTTTTACAAGGAAAGGTTTTCATAACTACATATAAATGCTTATGAACTTACCAACCTTTATGTTGACATTTTTTTTTCAAAACAACTTGTATTCTCAGAAAATCACTAAACATGTAACCAAGTGCTTTTGAGGATGGAACGTTAAGGCGTCAAACATTTCATTTTTGTCAGCATAATGTAATTGATTTGGAAACATGTAAATTCATACAATGATGTAACTCTTTCAATTATATTTATGTTGGTTGTGTTTACTTTAATCACTATGGCAATTGTTGTTATGATACTATATATGAAGTCCTCCACCCCCGGATGTTTCCGCCATCCTTGGTTTGCGGGTGTGACATCTTGTGTCCATACGGTATCTTGAAGAACATATGAATGGTTGATCACTTATCTCAGGGCCAATGTTTGATTAGATCAGAGTTCCGCGGTTGCTTCGGAAATCAAACTTTGTTGTTTAATTTAGAAGTTATACTTGCAATTGTAGTTATAGAATTGTCCAAGTGGAGGATTGTTGGATTAAGGTATCTAAGATCATAACTAAATTAGTATATACTTAAACTGAAAGCAAAGTTCTTTTTGAGTTGCCCTCAGAACTAGTAATTGTTTAGAATGTCATTTGGAGAGAGAGGGTGACTTATTGATTTATTATATGATTATTTAATAGCAATAAATGATTTGTTAATATGTTAAAAGTGAAAGGACTTAAACTGTAATGGTTTAATAGTTGAACAAGAGAGAATTCCAGAACCTTCCAGGCCTTGGACGGTTTTGGAGGGTGTATTTAGGGTTTTTGGAATATTCCTTATAAATAAATAAATAATGGATTGGACAATTGCCTAATTTGAAATATTAATATTATATTTAAATTAGGGTTTCCATGGTTCCTTGTACTAGCTATAAATAGAGACCTTAGGCTCCTTGTTTTTGTCCACACCCATACCTAAAGGAAGAGTTGAGTTTTTGCTTCATCTCCTCTCTCTTCTCTTGTCTTCTTCTTATTACTAGGATTTGGGTACAAACCATTAGAGCCACTAAGTTTTTAGTGCTTGCTTTCCAAGATGTTCAAGAAAAGACTTTTGGTGTGATTATTTGCTTTAATAATCAAAAGGTATGTAAACCATAACTTTCTTGTATTTTCGAAAATACCTAGGTTTTATTAGGGTTCTTGATGTTCATAGTTTATTGCTATAATTTATAGGTTGCATGTAAACTTAAGGGTTAAGGTTTTCGCTTCATATGCAATTTTATAACCTATAAAACCCATCAATTTTAGTTACAAATTCTCTTTTTTCGACATTGTTCTTTTTTATATATTTGCTTGTGATTGTTTGTGTTCGTATATAGGCCAAGGAAACTGAAGCTACAAGTAACGGTAGCAGAACTAACATTCCCATAGAAAAGTTGTTGATTATGTATCGAAGAATCAAGCTTCAACACCAAAGCAATTTGTTGCAAGATGTTAGTGATAGGATATATGTTAAGAACAAACCATATAAGCATTACCAGCACCACAACATTTCCTTCTTCCATCTTTCCCTTAAAACAATGACCACAACTACCACCCATCACTATAGAGGAGAGGAAAGTGAATTTTTATAAGATACCAATTTAGGTAAGAATGATGCTGATACCCAGTTTGATCTTATTACATTGACATTTTAAAGTCGTGACAATTTCCATTTTTGATATCTTATTACATGTCCTTCATTGAAGATTTTAGAGCTAACATTAAGATTTCCTCTCATGGTGGAAACTATATTGGATTAAATGATAGGTTGGCTACAATGATTGGCACCATAAAACAATTGTTGTAATTTATTAATCTGATTTTATTAAAATTATATGATCTCTACTACATACAGTCTGTTGGCCTTCTATTTCCATATGTTGAAATGATTATTTTTTTTGTTACTGGTTTACAATATATAGCATGCAATTCAATTATGTTGCTCTTTGAACTTAAATTTAGGAAGTATTGCTAGGAAATATCAACACAATTTACTTCTTTTTTACCTATATGGACAATATATTTTAATTTTTACCGATAATAGCAATATACTTACAAATTTTTGATGATTGTTGCAAAATTTAATCTGTTTAGGATGATGTGGCAATATATACATTGCCAAATAAGCATTGAAGTAATACCAAATAAAAATATATTGTAGGGATTTGAATTATAGAGTCTAGACATCCCATATGTCATGTAAATGCTTTGCAATTGGGATCCCTACATAATATTCCTTTTTTACCTTTTAATATTAATCTTATTCTCCTAAATCTTTAAACTTCATAAATTTGTTTACTTATATTTTTTGTATTTCTTCTTTTAAAAAAAATGAAAAGCAATTGAAAAAAGTATATATAACATAATTATCAATAATGACATTAACATGATAACAACATAACGAAAATTGACCAAATGAATAGAATATAACCCAAATTAACCAAATAAATAGATTAGTTGAAAAAAAAAATCATCAAGCTAAATTCCAAATGATAATCGCTTATATTATTAAAACTAAATTGCTAATTTATTTTTGATATTGTTTTCATCAAGCTAACTCCATGTGAATATTATCAATTTCAAAGATGGTTTGTTATTTTCAATTATTAAAAAAAACGATTTGTTCTTTCTGTAAAATAAAATCTTTCAATCATATGGTCATTTTTATGAATACCCCATTTATTTATTTATCAATAAAGAGATACTTAGCATAAATAGAAACTTAGGGAAACACATGACAAATTTATACAAAACCATAAACCTACAAATCTACTTCTTCATGGTTGAAACTCTGAGAATTAATTGCATAAACACCCTGAAAACATAAAAAACAAAAAGTTGACATTTTGACTTTCAAACAAAAAGATAAAAACATCAAGAACAAGAACAAGAACAAGAACAATACCTGATGTATCATGTATGCTTACACTTTAGCATAAAATGATACCATTTTAGGGTCCAATTGGCCACTACAATAGCTTGAAGAGATAATCGAAAGCTCTTGATACCCTTTCCATTCCTCCAATGGTTTTAAAATGATTGGTTTCTCAAGAACACCCGAATCCACTGACAACATGTTTTGGTAATCCTTATCTCCAAAACCAATTTCTGATGCCTTTGTTGCATTGTCCCATGGGGTCCACAAACCTACGGTTTTTCATAAATTTATACAAGTTAAAGAACACGAAAATCTACATTTTATCATGAATCTTGAAGTTAAAAGAAGACAAAAGAAATATGCATTTTGGACATGAATCTTGAAGAAAGATTCTACAATCAGGATAGAAAAGAACATAACAGGTTGTACTGTGTTTTCTGTCTGGTGGGCATCGGGAACTGGGACTGGGACTGGAACTGATGTCAGTGACATAAAATTGTAACTTTTTTTCCACCCAAAAAGATGTGAATGCCGTCCTCATAATCTAGACTTTCAGCGTGCATCAAGACATCAAAGATACAAAAGTATTCGATTTGACACGAGTCTTTTAAATATGTACTTTTAAGCTAATTGAATACGAATGTTAGCTATGACATGAATATAAATATGCACTTTGATATCACTCTTGAATACAAACAACTAAAGAACATAATGAAAAAAAATATTAATATTTTAAAATTTTAAAGAATACCAGCATCCGGGAGGCCTTCATTACGTATCACAATTGTCCTCTTCTTGTTATGATCTATGATTGCTATATTACCTGGTGTTTTTGTATAAACCCTATCCACCTGTCAAAGAATACATATCATATTCATAAAAAAAATAATAATAATAATAAGTTACAATTATATAAAAATATTTATGTATTTAAAATGTGAGTGACCTCTCCATCAAAAGTGATAGCATCAGGTTGCTCTGTGAATCTTTTTCCCTGTTGCAGATTATCATGAAAATCAAGTGTTTCTAATCCTTCAACTCTCACTTCACTGAAAATGAAACCCCATGTCAGACTTTGAATGAAAACAATTAAAGATTAAATGCATGAAATAGCAACAAATTTTCGTTGATTTGTTTATTATAGTATCTTACTTTAGATTTTTCCTATTACAAAATTGCACTATAATTACAAAGCAATTTTCATTGGTATAAATAACAGGGTAAATTTTTCGAAGTATAGTGTCTTAATAACGAAACTAAGTACAATGCCTTAGTAAAGATAAAACCAAAAATATAATGTTGTAATAGAAAGAAATGGAAGTAGAATTCTATGATACACAACAAGATAAAAGTAAGTTGCTATTTCTTGCATTTAGCCCAATTGTTAAGGCTTGAAACTTTGAAATAAATAAAAAAAGAAAAACCTCATATCAGATACTGATAAGTAATTTTGAAGCGCAAATGTGAACGAAAGGGATGCATTGTCGGTATTCTTAATGTAAGAAATTATCGTCATTTTGTCTGGACCCAAAGAAACTCGAAGGCGCAACTCAAAGCTGTATAAATATTAGTTGGTAAGAATGTGTGTCCTTTACACAATAGACAGAACAGGTTGTACCTATTCTGTGTTTGACATGCACTAGACTGAGACATCGATTGATGTCAATATGACAAAAGTGCAACTTTTTGCTCCATCCAGAAGGTGGGACAAAGATTCGCTCTCGATCTCTTGTATGTGCAAAAGACGTAAATACCCTCCTCATTCTCATCATCAAAAATCGCTCTAGAAAGCTTGTCTAGTCTCATGTGTAATAAACGCAGCCGAAGGCTGCGTTTGTTACACGGGACATGACTAAAATGTCCTCGACAAACTTTCTAGAGCTATTTTGATGACGAGGATGAAGAGGGTATTTATGTCTTTTGCACATACAAGAGATCGAAAGCGAATCTCTGTCCCACTTTCTGGGTGGGAGAAAAAGTTGCACTTTTGTCGTATTGACATCAATCGCTATCTCAGTCTAGCGCATGTCAAACACAGTACAAGTACAACCTGTTCTGTCTGGTTAGCAATAAATAAAACCAAATTTTTGTTTAAAAAACATGGGTAATTATTACCTACGTGGCCATGTATTGGAATCATTTGCTGTAGTTTTTAAGGTTAGATCTACTGAAGATGGGTTTCCTGTAGGAGTCAAACGCAAGGGGATGTTATCGAATGACTTTGCGTTTTTCTTTGACCAACAAATCTCCTTCATAATCCCTGTATTGGCTACCTGAAAGGATAAAAGAAATATAATAATCACAAAACCCAAGAGTTTATACAACAAACAATTTTGTAAAAAAAAAAATATATATTTGAGATTGTTCTGCATGGCTTACCTGTGGAAAACAAAGCGAAATACCTCCTTTAGGAAATCTTCCACCAGTCTACGAAGAAGAAACAAGTAAGAAATTAGAAATTGATGTAATTTTAGTTGTTGATTATCTGATTCTCATTAAAACTGCTTACATTTTTGCTCATAAAAAGCAATTCTTCACCTTGACTGTTCTTCCATGAGACAACTTTCCCACCATAGAGAAGGACCTGCAATTAAATAATTAAGCATCGATTAACAAAATTATAATCTTTTTTACATTACAAGATATGTGTGTGTGTGTGTTAAAGATAAAGAAGAAGGATGATACCTCAGCAGAAGAACCACCAGGTTCAAAAAGCAAAACTCTGGGCAAACTTTTGTAATCATTAAACACATAACCATTCGGCATTTGATTTAATGTAGCAAACCACCTCCACAATCTTATTCTCTTCACTAATGGATGCTCTTTTGTCCACTCCAGCTACATACAGACACAATCAAGAACATCAAAAACTCTCCACTTTCATTTTTTGTATACAAAGTTACTACTTATAGTTCTAAATTTCAAAATTGACATGGAATATGTTGCGAATTTCGCTATATCCAAGAGACCGGTGAATAGAAACTTGCATAGAAATTAGAAAAGACGACACCTTTCCTTTTGATTTTCTTGATATCGATGGACTTTGATGGAGACCCAATTTGAGGTGGGGCTTTTGTAGTGACACCCATTTTGGGGTTTCATAAGAAAGATTGGATGAATGAAAGAAAGGGGAAGAGTTAACAGAACAAAGAAGGAAAGGTGATCCATGGTGGTTTCTTTTCAATGCGAATCTGTCTCCGTTGTCGTGGCTTTTTGGGATAGCGATTGGGAATATTTCATCCAATTGGTTTATTTGGTCGGTAGGAAACCTCTAATCTGTCTAAAGTTGCCGTCAAGTCATTTGTCGCCCTCCAATTAGGTCTTGAGAAAACGATACGAATTTGGTGAAATCACGAAATGTTCCTTCGAAAGAAAGAACCAAAATTGCCTTCTAATTTTGGTCCTCGTGTATTCTAAATGCTAAGAACGAAACAATCATGCTCGTGAGCTCATACGAGGGTAGAGTGAGGATAAAGGCTGCTGGGTAGGACAGCACTCAGCAGGTCTTCTTTCACACGATCGTCGCATCATTTTCCTTGAGTGGGCAACGGCTTCGGCCGTTTTTATGACGTGTAAGGGTGGAACGTCGTTACCGCAATGAAACACCGCCCCTGCACGTTGTTCGTTGTGCGTTATTTGTGGCTTTTCGTGTTCACAGTAACGACTAACGAGTGGCAACGGATAAAATTGAAATGTTGGGTGGATTTCACCTTTTGGTAATTTTCGATAAAAAATTTAGGGAAAATGACTATCGAGGGTAATTAACTTTTGCGTTTGTATTTATTTGGTTCATTTTTTTTTTTGTATTCAATATACCATTGAACTTGTTGTTGGTGTTTACCATAGCCCTTTACAAGTTCAATGGTATATTGAATACAAAAAAAAGAAAAGGGATCAAATGAAAACAAACGCAACAGTTGGTTACCCTCCTGATTCATTTTCCCTTTACTCATTTACAACAAATCTCACATTATCTCCTACTGATATTAATGACTTTATGAGATTCATTCTTGCTTCTAATTAAAACATAACCTACGAAAGGACATTATTCATACATGTACAACTTTGTAATGCACTTGAATATTTATTAGGGGAATCTTGACTAAGCAGGCGCATTTCATGACTACATTTACATTTTCAATCAAATGATTTATCGTATCATGGATTCTAGACAAGTCTACAAACAAATGGAACCACAAGTGCTATGATTTTTGAGTTTACTTAGCTTTAAGATCGAACTCACGGGATAAGATGTTGGATAAGGTGTCTAAGTCCATAACTTATTTGGTATATACTTGATCCAACCCGGCATGGTCCATTTGGGTTGCACTTCACCCGAACTATTTATGGATAATTTTATGAGAGTTATATACATATGATAATTAAAATATTATAAGTTATAATATATTAATATGAAGTCATGTTATTTAATTAGTCTTAGTCTTAAATTAATTATGAGTTAATTTAGAGATTAAAAGGAAGACTAATTAGATTGTGGGCTATTGGTTTTATATGGTGTGGGCTAACACTCATTTGTTAATGGGCTAGGCTTGTATGGAAGTCCATGGATGATCCATGGAGCTTTTAACCCATGGATCCTTGGAAAAGGAAAGGTCATGGGTTATTAGGGTTTCACCCTAACCATGCACACTATATAAGCATGTGTTATGTTGCATGAAATAGCCACTAGTGTGTGTGTTTGTGTGTGGCTGAAATTATAGTGTGTATACACTCTCTTAAAGTTTTCCAAGTGTTTGTAGTGATTTGTGATTCCATTTGAGGTATTCACACTATTGGTGCTTGGCCCTCAAACTCCTTAAGAATCAAACTCATCAAAAAGGTATGTAATCTCATCTAATTCTTTTATGTTTAAAAGTACCCCATGCCATGTTAGATAGGTTATGAACCTTGGAAAATTATTATTTTTCATGTATTTAGACAAACATAGATCCAAGGTTTATTAGAGTTGCATGCACACTTAGGAAGTGTTAGATTGCTCAAAACCCAACATAAGATACAACATCAATATCTACAATATTATGGTGATGTGTCTACAAAAGCAGCATGATATTGTACATATTGATGTTGTATCTTATCCCATGAGTTCGATATTAAAGCTAAGTAAACTAAAAAATCACAGCACTTGTGATTCCACTCGTTTGTAGACTTGTCTATAATCCATGATACGATAAATCATTTGATTGCAAATGTAAATGTAGTCATGAAATGCGTCTACTTAGTCAAGATCCCCCTAATAAATATTCAAGTGCATTACAAAGTTGTACATGCATGAATAATGTCCTTTCGTGAGTTATGTTTTGAAGAGAAGCAAGAATGAATATCATAAAGTCATTAATATCAGTAGGAGATGATGTGAGATTTGTTGTAAATGAGTAAAGGAAAAATGAATCAGGAGGGTAACCAACTCTTGCGTTTGTTCTCATTTGGTCCCTTTCCTTTTTTTTTGTACTCAATATACCATCAAACTTGTTCACTATAACCCTTTGACCGGCTATCACAAGTCAAAAGCCGGTCAAAAGGGCTATGGTAAACACCAACAACAAGTTCGATGGTATATTGAATACAAAAAAAAAAAAAAAAAAAAAAAAAAAAAAAAAAAATGGACCAAATAAGTACAAACGCAAAAGTTAATTACCTTCAAGAATCATTTTCCCAAAAATTTACATACAAATATTAAAATACTAGTTTATAACCTGAGAAAATTACGGTTATAAAATTAATTAAAATTTATTAATAAAAATTTAAAAGTATTAACCAATTATTTTAAATAAATTATTAATTAATAGATTTTTTTAGTTATATAAAATATAATCATCTATTTAGATAAATATGTAAAGTTATATCGTTTTATAATTTGTATTAATTTTCTTTTAATTTTTATTATAATGTTATTAATTTAATGTAATTAGAGTGGAAAATTTAAAATTTGAAATAGAAAATCAATAGGTTGAGAAGTGACATGCATTAATTAGAAGTGAAATGCATTAATTAGAAGACATAATAGGGTGACACATAACAAAAAAAAAATATGCATTAATTGTAAGGTCTAATATAATAACATATGTCAAAAGGAAAATAAAAACTATTCTTTTATTAGAATAGAGATATACAACGACTAATTTTTAATCATCGTTTTATTCTTTTTCTCTCCATTTTGTAAAAATTTTCAAATTTTCAAAAGAAAATGGATCCACTTGATTTGTTCGCCCCGTCCAACGATGATGATGATGACAATATCTTTGCGACTCTGATGTATAAGTATTGTACGAACGTGCTGCTACAATCAGATCCAGCTTCACTACTAACACGACTGTAACATCCCAAAAATAATGATGAATGTTTTCATTTTTAAAATCACCAAATCCATACACCAGGTGTCTTAAAATCATTCATAATACAATGTATCAAAATCATCATAGTAAAATAATCATCAATGCAAAATCGTGAGGGGGGGGGGGGGGTTATGCGATCACGTTGGGGCCTCGAACTGAAAGTACCTTAAAATATTAAACTACAAAACCTTAAGCTCAAATCTTATTGAGTTTTCCTAAAATAATGCATACCATAAAAACATTGTCATGGGCTACCCCCATGGTCTTTCATACCATTGTCATGGGTTGCTCCCATGGTCTTCCCTTGCAGTGTTTTGGCTACCCCAAGGTCTTACACACAAGTGTCATGGGCTTCCCCATGGTCTTTCATATAAATGTCACAAGCTACCCCCATGGTCTTCCATGTAAGTATCATAAAGACAACCAGCATCCTACATAGCATAATCTAGTGAGCCAACATTAATGCCTTCGACCCACAACTACAAAGACAAGACTCATCTCTCAGATGATAATCAACTGCTACTGCTCTCACTGCCGAAAATACCGATGATATACACCACCTATATAGCCACACAAGGTAAACCCTTAGCCCACATTCCAAAACTAGGAATTTGGCTAAAAGTCAACTCAAGTCAAAAGTCAACGATCAAAGTTGACTTCAGTCAACGATCAAAGTTGACTTCAGTCAACGGTCAAAGTTGACTTTAGTCGATTGCTACGTTGTGGCCATCAATGACCACATTGTGGCCCACAAACGACAAACACAGACAATAATTCCCCAATTGTCACGCCATGGCAACCTAGGGCCACGTCGTAGGCATTGGGTTCTTAACACTTAATGGGTTAAGCCTTTTCCTTCTATTCCAAGAGCTCCAAAGCTCAAATCTGGTCCTTCATATGGTCTACATGGATAAAGTTTCCAACTTTATCCTATAAGACTCCCCAAGAGATCAAGATCCCAAATCCTAGGTCTAACAAGGTAAAACATGACATGGACTTAGTTATTAAGCACTTAATCTCTAAAGTTCTTAGTCCATCAGTTCCAAAAGAATTTCTAACACTAAACTAACATAAAAGTTGGTGTTTTATAGACATACATATCTTAAGCTCATATTAGGTCAAAAATGAGGATTATGACCAAAAATCGTATGTATGACTTAAAATCCAACCATACTTCAGATCCAAAACCATCAACTACTCCAAATACCCCAGAGATTCATAAAGTTGCAAACTTTATGGGTTCTCACCATCCTAACTAACAAGAATAAGAAGAATATGGGATAAAACTCAAGATTTAGTAGCCTGATAGCATAAAGATTTAGTCTTGGATACTCACAGAGGTCCAAAAGTGTGATACAATGAGAAATGAAAACTTGGTTGCTAGATCTTTGCTCACTTTTTCTTTCTTCTTCCTTCAAAATCTTCCAAAAAGCATCAGAATAAGCTTTAACAATTGAGGAAAGGGATTAGGGTTTCTTCAGAGCTTAGGAGAGTGATGGAGACTGAGGATGAGCAAACCTAGCCTCCTCATTCTTTTAAATAGGGTGCAAAACTCAGAAAATTAGGATTTAACTCACCAGTAGAGGCCACATCATGGCCTATAGACTGCCACATTGTAGCAGGTCAAAAAAAGTATGCGTCCAAAAATTCCTCGCCACGTTGTGGTAATCCTTCACCACGTTGGGGCAACTTCAAAAAGCCAAACGTTAATTAAATCAAATGTACCTCAAGATTCAGATGTTACAACGATGTGTGACATTAAACAAAGAGCACATAGAAGGGAATAGACGTCTGGTTAACTATTGTTTTGCGGATAATTGTGTCTATCAGTCACGCGATTTCAAAAAAATATTTCGTTTACGAAAAAATGGGTTTGAACGGATAGCCAACACCTTGGCAACCATATATCGTTTCTTTCAAGATTTGTAAATTATAATGTGCCTTTTAGATAAAATAAATACATTTTTTTTACGTATTTAATATATGTTTATGTAGGAATTTTTCCAAATAAGATACGATGCAAGAGGTAAGCGAGGTTTCACAGGGTGGTAGAAATGTGTTGCGACAATTAAGCTTACGGCTATGGGGAAGTCACCCGATTATATGAGAATGTATGAGAAAACTGTATGAGAAATTTTATATAGATTATCAAGAGGTGTTGTTGAAACCTTCGGTGACAAATACTTGCACAAAACTTAGTTTAATGATATGCAACAACTATACAAGGCACATGAAGAAATACATGGTTTTATGGGTATGCTTGGAAGTATTGATTACACACACTGGAAATGGAGAA